GAGGGATGGATAATGGAAGGATGGAAGGATAGATGGATGGATAGATGATGAAAGAATGGATGGATGGATGATGAAAGGATGGATGGATGGATGATGGATGGATGGATGATGGATGGATGGCTAGCTGGCTGGCTGGCTGGCTGGCTGGCTGGCTGGCTGGATGGATGGATGGATGGATGGATGGATGAATGAATGATGAAAGGATGGCTGGATGGAGGGATGGATGATGGAAGGATGGATGGCTGGATGGATGGATAGATGGATGGATGATGGAAGGATGGATGGATCAGAATCAGAATAAACTTTATTGGAATTGCACCGAGGTACAACGCGAATATGTACGTACAGTCATCCGAAAGATGGGCTGAGTGCACGAAGCTGCAACTGTAGAAAGCACGGCCATTTTGTCCTTATCAGATAATAATGTTAGATATGAAAAGGGGGAGAAACATGAGGGTAGATAGTGGTATTACAAAAAAAGATCTTTCACATCTTGTCTATCAGGACACAATTTGAGACATCAAAAAACTCTACCAGCAGCTCAATTAAAACATGATCACATTTGTATTTGACATCAAGGTGTTCAGATTTGTCCATGAGCTTTTTTTCAGATCAGCCACAGTTTCTGAAGATGTTGTTTCAGCGGACAGTTCTGATAAGCTTGCACAGAAAGTTCTTGGGGGGTGATAGATGAAGCTTTTGTCCTTCAGTACTCATGTCCCAGGAGAAATTGATAGTCGGCCTGTCTCCGAGGCCGTCAGGAGTCTGATTTAGATAAGCTGGTTTCTTGTTTTTCTTCAGACAGATTACTTTTTTTTCAGCCTTGAGTCTATCTGGGCGTTCTGGTTCCAAAAATGCCTGATGGTGGGATTCCATTCCACTGATCCATGCTATGAGTCTCCTTCAAGGTCGAACCCACCACGCTGACAAGTCGCAGAAGCCGCAGGTGGCCTGCGATTCTCAATCGCCTCCACCTTAGGGTTAAGCTCGTAAACCAGACGATTCAAAGTTCCCACAGCGAGGACCAGACCTTCACACTGACTCGGAAGCTTTTCCATGGCCGAAACTGCTCCCGATGTCTTCTTCAAAAGTCGATAAAACAGAGCCCCGCTGATGCCAAAAAGCAGAGTCCTGCTATCATAAGTCCAAATATATAAACGTCTTCAACATCCTCCTGAGACAGAACTGAGAGGCACATCATCTGCCACACTCCCCACGAATCCATGACGTACCCCACGGCGTGAGTCTCAGCTGGACACACGGGTTCTCCAGGACCTTGTCGCTTTGATGAAAAAATCTTATCAATAGAGTTGAACGCCCACGATACCAAATCCATAATCTTCTTAATTTATGTTTGGGAGATGAGACCCAGGCGCTTCAGATGGATGGATGATGAAAGGTTGGCTGGATGAAGGGATGGATGATGGAAGGATGGATGGATGGATGGATGGATGGATAGATGGATGGATGGATGATGAAAGGATGGATGGATGGAAGGATGGATAATGGAAGATGGACGGATAGATGGATGGATAGATGATGAAAGAATGGATGGATGATGAAAGGATGGATGATAATGGAAGGATGGATGGATGGAGG